GGCCTGGGGAAAGGGGCTGCCTGCGTGGCCCCCCGCCCCCTGCCACGAGGCTGCCCCTTCCTTCTCTGCTCGCCCTCCACTTGGTGCTGGCTTCCTCCCTCCTCTGCCCCCAGCTGCAGGGAAGTTCCTTTTTTAGCCAGTCTCAACCGGCCTCGTTAATTGAGCCCAGGTGTTCTAATTAGCCCAGGCGCACCTGACTCTGCAGGCCTACTCAGTCAGCCCCAGGGGCTCAACTGCCCCGATTGCTCTGCTGGTTCTAGACCAGCCCCGCCCGGTTACCCTGGGAACCGAGATCTGCTTCCTCTGAGGCACCTCTGCCTCCCCTCCTATCCGTTTGTACCCCTCTGCCCTGACTGTCGCGGCCGGCGTAGCTTGCAGAAAGGCCCGGTCCAGTTGTCGGAGCACAGAGCAGGCTTGTAGGGGCTCCAGCATAGCCGTGCTGGCTCCTCCGCCCGGCACGCCGCTGGCCCTCCTTTCCTGGTGCCCCCCCAGCGGTGACCTTCTCGGGCCGCGCGCGATAGCAAAGATTAGGGGGCCAGCCAGAGCGACAGGACCCAAGGCAGCCAGTCTTCCCTCGGGTCATTTCACACGCGGGGTCTGGCGTGAGCCCCCCGTGCCACTAGCCCCTATGTGGAGACCCAGACTGTGCCGGTGCCAGCGGGTCTCCGACCGGCAGAGGCCGTGGATGAGTGGAGAAGCCGTGACGGCCTGAGCACCCTCTGTCGTGTTGGGTTTTGTTTGGACGTCAGTACTTCTGAGGTGATAGCACCACCAACCGCACACTTTTGTTTGGGGGGAGGGGTAGCTCAGTGGCTTGAGCATTGGCCTGCTAAACCCAGGGTTGTGAGTTCAATGCTTGCAGAGGGATTGGGGCAAAAATCTGTCAGGGATGGTACTTGGTCCTGCTGTGAGGGCAGGGGACTGGACTCAATGACCTTTCAAGATCCCTTCCAGCTCTAGGAGAGAGGCAACCTCCATTAATTTACTTCCCCGAGGCCCGAATTGAGAGTCCCAGCCCCATTCTGGTCGGTGTTGTGTGCACCTAACCAAAGCTAACTCCTGCCCCAACCAGCTCCCAGTCAAAGAACTACACCTGTTCGGTGCGATGTTGGCTTTAGTTGCCCCGGCGCAGGCTGGTGCCCTTATTAAATGCAAGTCCCTTGTAACGCCATCCACAGCCCACGGGATGAGGGGCGATTTGCTTTTCTCCAGAGAGGGGAAGGAAAAGGGGTGGGAAGCACCTGTCTGGGGACGGAGCAGTCCAGCCGCTGCCTGCCCGGGCATTAGCCGGATGCATCGGTGCAAGGTGTGTTGGGCGAGGCTGTGCTTAGGGATGTAAAAATAATAACCGTGTGACCGAGCAAAATTCTGTCAGTGACACGATGAATGGTGTTACCTGGGGAAGTAGGCGTGAGGAGGGCGAGGTACTGGAGCGTTCCCGGCCCCACGGGTGGCGGGCACCCCGCTCCAGCCAAGTGGTCTGCTGGCCCGTGCGATCCCTAGCAGAGTTTAACCAGTAGCAGGAACTGTGAAGCGTCAGCGTTGAGCCTCTAAACTCCGGGACTCTGGTCCGGGGATATTGCTGGACCAGAGAGCCCCAGCTGCCCGGTTTCAGAAGTGCAGACCGAGCTGGGCTGGCAGCGAGGAGCACAGGCCAAGCCAGGGCTAGAGGCAGCCAGGCCAGGAGCGCAGCCCCGCTGAGGGAAGCACCGCCTTGGTCGGGGCTGGCACAGTGGGGGCTGGCGGCAGTGGCAGGAGGCAGGGAGCGCAGCCCCAGCTGGGAGCAGAGCCCTACAGCTGGGCAGGGAGCCTTGACCTCCCCTTATCAGAGGGGTCGCCGTGTTCGTCTGGATCTGCAAAAGCGACGCGGAGTCCTGTGGCACCTTATAGACTAACAGATTGTTGGAGCACGAGCTTTCATGGGCAGAGACCCACTTCCTCAGATGCATGTAGTGGGAATTCCAGGGGCAGGTATCAATATACAGGCATACTCTGGTTTGGGACCGCTCAGGTGCCCAGGGAGCCGGACAAGGGAGGTTCGACTGTAGTTAGCTGGTTAAACGCTTACACCTCCAGCCGTGCTAGCGGTGCTGACGCTGTTGGTTACCGTGCGTGGAAGAGGGAGGAGCAGCGGCTGGTGGGTGTCGGAGGCTCCCTGAATGCCCCTCAGACATCGGCAGCGTTAGAAATCGAAATACGTGAGGTGCAGGTTCTTTACCAGGCAGGTGATTGATCCTGGAGCCACTTGCTTCGGGCCGTGGAAGAGTCCTGCTGTCCCTTCGCCAAGCCACAGGCCTGGGGCAGCACTGAGGTGGCCTGTCTGCGGTAGGCAGGTCAGCCCAGCTGACCACCAGAGCCTGGGACTCGGCAAAATCCTTCCCCTCGCAATGCTGGTGCCTCTGTGCAAAACGGGATTTTAGTTCAAGACCCGGCTCTGTGGCCAGGTGAGCCACGTGGATGAAGGAGCCGCGTCTCCTCGCGGGGACGTGGGCGGCGTTTCCTCCCGGGGGAAGGATCGTGTCAGTTTTCAGCCTTATTGCAAACGGCGCGTTAACGTGGTGAGGGCGAGTTTCAGCAGGGGAAATCGGCGGCTGCTTGCTGCGCCGGTGACATGGTACGGCTTAATGAACTCAGCGCCGAGTTCTGCCCGTCGGTGCGCATGCGAGACTTGAGGGCAGCTTTTCTTAGGTGCCCATCCCCATGGCGTTTGGCCCCTCGTGGGCTTCAGTGCAGGTACCCTCGCCACGCCCTGCAGGGGAAGAGGTGTTTCCCAGGTGAGCAACGGAGGCCCAAAGACACTGAAGTGCCCCAGGTCCCACAGAAGAGAGTTTGAACCCAGATCTGCTGTGAACCTGCCCAGGAAGGTTAGTCAGCCTCTGAGCTAGGTCCCCATTCACAAGAGGGGCGCAGACCAAAAGACTCGCTGTCCCTTCCGAAGTGCTAACAGCAGAGGACAGGTGTCCGTAGTAGGAAATGCTGAATTCCCGGAAACGGTCCCCGTGGGATTTACTCTGAGCCCTATGTCCCAGCTGGGGGGTTTCCTCCATCGGGCA